ATATTATTATAAGTGCACATATTTGTATGTATACATATATAAATAAATGTAAATATATGTATAATATGTGATATATGTATGAAAAAAAATCACAATAAAAACAAAAAGAAATGAGGCAACTATCCTAGCCCCTAGAGGAATCAGGAAAGGTTCCAAGTAGGATGTATAATTTGAACAGAATTTGACCTAAGCTTTGAAAGAAACTAAGAGACAGAAATGAAGAGGGAGTGCATTCCAGGTATGGGGAAAAGCCAGGGCAAAGACAGGGAGAGAGGAGATGAAATGTGCATGACGAACAGCAAGAAGACCAGTTTGGCTGGAATGTGGAGTGAGTAAAGGGGAGGGACATACAATAAAGTGGGAAAGGTTGGTTGGGGCCAGTTGTGAAGGCCCTTGAATGCCAAACAAAAGATCCTGGCAGGCTTTTTCACTAAGCCGAATCTAATATGATAAAATTCATTAAGGATAGATGTAGCCTTATCCTTGGATTCGAATAATCAACTTTACAAGTACAAGATGGTGGAGGCCTACTCAGAGTAGAGTAGTTTCAAATGTAAAAACAGATGGTAAAACTTTCTAATCGGTGTTCTTATAACAATCCACTTATTTTGCTGAATTTCTCAAATTGTCTTTGTGAATGGTGTTTTCCCTCATTGATGGAATGTATTAGATTGCTCTTTTTCAGTGTCTGTCTTCTTTTATCCTTAGTCATAATCTTTGTTTAGGAACATAAGAAAAGGGATACAACTGGTTTCTATTGTTTTCGTACAAAATATCTTGGGGCCAAGATTAAGACAAAAGTGTGTGGCCAATGTTCTACACACCTAATTGGTGCCCTCTGGTGGTAGGAATATGTCAAGGCCCATAACTCAAAACATCCTGTATCTTTGATCAGGATGGTTTTCATGTAGGAAATTGATTTGCGCTCACAGTTTCATAGCTAAAAGGGACCTTAGAGGTTAATTCCTTTCTTTGGCACCCTAGCATCCCAGAGACATTTAATGATCACAGTTTCTCAAATTTGTTCAGCTGTGTGGTTATTTTATTATTTTATTTTATTTAACTGTCTTGGATACAGACCATTACCAGAATGCTATCCTTGGGCTTTAACTCCAGAAAGGGAGTTTTACTTTACAGCTGAGTTCTCCTTTTCTTGACATCCATGCTTCAACGACAGATTCAAGTTTTTCTATTATGTCATATATTTTTTCTGTGAAGGATATAAATTCTGCTTTCATGATTCTTATTTCTCTTTTAAACCATTTAGGAACATCCTGCTGTGGTTCCATGCTCTCCTGAGCATTCAGAAAGTCCTTTCTCTCATCAGATGCTGATTTATTTTCCTTTATTTTGCAATACTTATTCACAAATGCCTGAACTCTTCTCTAATCTAAAGACCATATTTCTTTTGGCAATTAATATCTTTCTTATTATCTGCTTATGTTCAAGATCTTTAGATGAGTTTTCTTCCTACCATGGTCTTTGGCAATTTTGGCCTTTCCCCACCTTATTTTCTCCTATTGCCCACTTTCTGACTCCCTCCCATTTGTTGGCTATTTGACAGTCTTAGCCTCTCCCACCCTGGACACTTTATGGTTTACCAGCTTTAGTTTCTGCCCCATATGACTTTAGGGAGAAGAGAACTAACTCTAACTGGATGCTGGGCCCTTTCCTTCAGCCTTAGTAGAGTGCCATCCCCCCAGTACACACACATTCTGCCCCCATTCCCTCCATTTCTCAGTTCTCTGTCTAAGTGCCAGAGAGTACTAGCATGCTGCTATCACAGCCTGAGCAAATTTCTGCCATTTGGAGTTTGGATCTCTGTGATACTCGATGGGGGTGAGGGGAGGGGTGAGGGGAGGGAACCCTCCCCACTTTCAACTCCCACTGTTCCTTTATTCTCTGGCTGAGGTCTTCTGTGGCAGAGTGCTGCTACGTAGAAGTCCTCATTGATATCTCAGTTTGAGCAAATATTCGTTGTTCAGCATTTGGAGCTCCTCAGCTCTGTGCATGTATGTATGAAGGAAGGGGAAAGGTTGGTGTCAGGGTGTTGAGCTGAGTTCCATCACAAGCATCTCAGTCTGCTAATGCAGCCCTGCTGTTGGGAGGGTGCTAGGTAATAGTAAAGAGATGCTGAGTTAGGGGTTAGGAATTAGCCTTCTCTACAATTCAAGTTGTTGTTGGGTTGTTGTTTTTTTTTACCTTATTTTGGTTCTTAGTGTCCTAGACTATGGAAATAACTGAAATTGCTTTATCTCTGTCCATAACTTATATTTTGGAAAGGCTTGAAAGGCTATGAGGATTAGAAAAAATGTCTAGTCCTATATCTTGTAGGTTGCATAAACCAAAAGTCTATGTAATCCCCCATCTTCCCAATACCCATTTGATATGAGGTCATAAATTCCATCAAAGTCATAATCTTCAAAATCACAAGCTGCTAATGCTCAGCATCAATTAGTCATATAGTTCTATGATTCATAGGGTACTGCTTTTCCTAACTTATAAGCTTTAGGGCTGAAATTATTCCATTGATAAGATCCTGATAAATAACAATGATTAAGGACTATGAAAGCACACTAAACTCCACCACTACCACCACCCCTCCCCAATACTTCTCTAGGCTACATATTGGGATTTTAGGCTAACTTCCTTGGTCCAACCTGAACAAAAAACACTTATCTGTCTTTCTTTATGAGCAATTCAAAATGCCTTGCACTAAGTCAGAGGTCAACCAACTACAGCCCATAGGCCAATCTGGTTTGCCACCTGTTTCTGTACAGCCTACAATGATTTTTACATTTTTTAAATTGTTGAAAAAATATCAAAAGAAGGATAATATTTTGTGATATATGAACAATTATATGAAATTCACAGTTGGGTGTCCATAAGTAAAATTTTATTAGAATAGAATCATGATCATTTATTTATGCATTATCTATGAATGCTTTCCCCCTACAATGGCAGAGCTGATGGCTTCAACAGAGACTGTATATAACACTCTCATCCCTTCCCACTGCTGCTCAGCACAACACAAATTGCCGTGACATAGTTATAATGACAACATTTTCATTGCCATGTGTCACCATGCCATGACATTTTATTTATTTATTTTTATTGCCAGAGCATACCTTCCATGTCAAAATGAGAAAAGAAGAGGTGAAAAAATTATCATTTTTGAAGTTCAGGAGTGAGATTGAAATTTTTTCTAAATGGGAAGATCCACTTCAACCTTCAACCACTACAGTAGAACACTGAATAGCTTTAGAAACTAGCTTTTGCTTCAGGTTTCATGTTTCTTAATGAATTCAACTTAAAGTTACTAGGCAAAATAGTATTTATATGTAAAATTTATACTACAGTTAAATCAATTCAGTGAATACTACTATTCGAATCCTATGTCAAGCTGCTTTATATACTTTTGGTAATATCAAGAGTTAAAACAAAAAGCAATGTCTCCATTCCCAAACAAATCTGTATCAGATATGTTTTCTGAGCTCAAACTACAGTTTGAGAAAAGTTTTTTGGGCCTCGATGCAAATACAAAAGAAATGTGCATATTTCACAATCCACTTAACTGTTCAGTTGGGAAGCTTTTGCTTAAGCTTCAACTGAAAGTGATTAATGTACAATATAATGATGCACTAAAAGCAAACATCAAGAGAAGAATCTAACAGAATCTATAAATGCCTTCCAAGCAATGAATGTGTGCAATTAAAATCACATGCCCATTGACTCATAGCAGTAGTTGGCAGTACTTCTTGGTGTGAAAAGACATTTTCAAATATGAAATATAGAGGCAGCTAAATTTTGCAGTGGATAGAGCACCTGGGTCAGGAAGACCTGAGTTCAAATCCAACCTCAGACACTTATGAGCTGTGGGGCCCTGTGCAAGTCATTTAACCTGTTTGCCTCAATTTCCTCATCTATAAAATGGAGATGATAATAACACCTACCTTGCAGGGTTTTTGTGAGGATCAAATGAGATATTTGTCAAAGTGCTTAGCACAGTGCTTGACACATATTAAGAGCTATATGAATGTTAGCTATTATTATTATATAAAATCTCATCACAGATAAGATTAGCAGACAAATATTTGCAATTGATTTTGATGATAAGGAACACTAACTTTGAGCCCCAGTTAAGTGAAATGTTCTCTCCTCCCCCCCAAAAAATTATATTCTTCTAATTAATAGACCTCTATTATAAAAATTGTGCTCAATTATTATTATATTTTGAATTTTCCAATATTTTATTTATAAATAACATATATTTCATCAATGAAAATTTTGGAAAAAAATTTTTTCTCACTATACCTACACAATAACCTTGATTTTTGCCTCTTGTCCAGCAAAGCCTAAAATATTTACTATTTGGCTATTTACCAAAAAGTTTTCTGAACCCCTACATTATGTCCCTTTTCCCTCCTAACCAAAGGTCCTACCTCTTTTTTTTGAGAAAATTGGACTCTTTTCCCCGAGGATACAATTAGGACAGTGATTAGACATAGCCCAGAGGCCCTTTGGTAGATGCGCTTCAGAGCACTCTCCTCAGTTTCTAATCCTTGAGTGGATAAGATTAGGAGAAGAAAGAAGACTTTGATAACTTGAAATGGTCTTTGAGCTCTTGAGTTTACTGTGCACCACTTTAAAAGGAAAATCCTTGGAGGGAGTGGTCAAGAAGGGAAGTTAGGGAAATGATTCTCTAAGGCACATTAACATTTAAAGTAACTACTATTATTCGGAGACTATTACCTAAATGCTGAACCCTGGTTCAATCTTGACTGGGGAATCATGCCTAAAGTTTAAGAGTATTTTAAATTGTTAACTCCCAAATGGCTTGTGAGAGAGAAGTTTTGGAAAGTTGGATCAATTTCTATCCCTTTGAATTCTTTCCCAACCTAAGCAGAAAATCCTTAGAATTAGTTTTGCTTCAATAGAATGGTTTCCACCAAACTCATGTTTCAAATTCAGAGGACAGACTTCTCTTCCATTGGACTTACCTGCAGCTACTATGATAATATCAGCCAGCTGTGTATGGATCTTCAGCTGCTCTTCTGGAGTATATCTATGCGTTATTGTCACTGTTGCATCACCTGAAATGAATGTATAATAACTCCCATTAATATTTACCAAGATTGTGGCCATTTCATTATACATACAAGCAGGAAAGCCACTTCTATTCAAGACATTCCTTTGACGTGAACAGTCATTTTTTTAGACTGCTAAGATACCATTTCTTTCATGAAGTCCTTTCTCATATGAAGTCTCTTGGCAGTATAGATCACAGAATCCAAGATTTAGAGCATAAAGGGGGCATTTAATCCAAATCTCTCACTTTGGAAGAGGAGGAGGAGGGTTAGAAATTTGCTTACTGTCAAACAGGTAGTAAGTAGCAGGATTTGAACACAGGTGTGATAACTCCAAATCCAGAAGCATCTTGCTTACACCAATACAGTGAGATCCTTGAACTGTCTAGATGTGACATCAAATTCTCAGGCTACAATAATGGAACACAATCTCTTGCAAGTATTACTAAGGTAGAAGGAAAGGCTTGTGGAAACTGTACCAGTCATCCTAAGAGCAGCCTAACTAGGTTTAGACAAGTTCATTACCAAACAGGTTTCATGGTGATGAATATTTTGACTATAGCAACACCTGATGAGTCTCTACTAAGCCAAAAAGGACCTGTATCAGTAGTCTTCAGGGTGGCTAACACCTCTCTGTTGACATATTAAGGGAATGAAGCAAAGTACCAACAATGGAACCTGCTAGTGTCTGCAAGGTTCCACACCAGATTAATTCATCCCTTCAAAGAAGGTAAGAAGGTACATTTTTTCATCTCTATTGTAAAGTACAAATTTTAGTCAATACAAGAAGGTGATGGCCACACAAATCTAACTTCTTTAAATCTATACTTTTCTTCTGAAGGCTCCTAGGATAATGACATGGACATGTCCATGCCTTCATCCATTACAAACCCATCATCAATGACTTTGGAATTCACCTCAAGGAACAATCTAAATATGTCCTCCATTCATTGGCTTTAGCCTAACTCACTAATTTCAGCTCTGTCTACTCTCCCTGATGACTTGACACACTTGAGGCCAAAGGCTAGGGCAGATTACAATGAAAACCAATTATATTGAAACACAGTATTAAAAAAAAAGTTTATGGGTCCAAGGTTTAGAACCATTTTCCTAAAGGAATTAAAATCTATGAATTTCTCCCTAGGTAATTTGTAATAATAAAATATTTGATATTTTAATATAGTTGGCAATGCAATCATCAAATTTGGCTTTTTTTCATTTTTTCTATGTAGCTCTGAATGAGTGGAATGAATGGATCCCTAAGGTTGCATTCAACTTTAAAATTCTATGATTCTAGGTCTAAATTCCATGCTAACCCCTTCTTTATAATTGGAATCTACTACTTTAATCATAAGTAAAAACAGAAGTGGAAATGATGGGGTGATGGAACCTGGACCCTGAATTTTCCCATACATTTTCAGCTGCCCAGATCTTGCCTAAGGTATATGGCCCACCCCAGCCCACCTTGATCACTTGATTAGCTTGTTTGATAATCCTCAATCCCATCTAGACCCTTTCTCTGTTGCCCCTGGGCTACCCCAGGGTATTTATCACTCCTTAATTCCATCCAGATCTTCTCACTGAATTTTCTTGTATGGAAGTATCAGTCTTATCTCTACTAAACCTCAGATTTACTAGGAATCTTGGCCACCATACTGGTGTTATAATGAAACCTCACTACTTTGATTAGAAGGCTTGAGTCGTTAAATTCTTTCAAGGTAGACTCACCCTGTACCCTTACATTTTGCGGTTCCCAGCACCCCAAACCACAACAGAGAGAAGAGTGCCCATACAATAAGGAGAACTAGGTTCCTCTCTAAATCTATTTTCTCCTTTGACCAAGGACAAAAATTATACTACTTACTTCAACAGAATTGTTGTAAGAAAAGTGCTGCAGATCTTAACTCCATAAAATCTGAATAATTATTATTAGAGTGGGCGTCCTCCCTTGTGATCAAGAGCAGCTACATATATTGGGTGACGGGAGGAGGACAGGAAAGAACATAAGGGTAACCACTACACAGGAAGCACATTTAAAGCATAAAGAACAAAAGCAGAGTTAAAATGAGGGACTAGAATACAATATGTAATTCTTCAGGCAGTTCCAAAAAAGCAATTGCGATCATGTTTTCAGATAAGGCAATGCCAGAATGGATACTGCCAAGAAAGACAAAGAGCAATAGCTTTTATTTATGTGGGTTTGGTGAGTTGGTGGATAGATACAGAGATGCAAAAAAAAGAAGAGACAGAAAATAGCTTTAATGAAATGTTAAAAACATAGAAGGAAGCAGAAGAAAGTTCAAAGAGGTACACAGACATGCAGATTAAGTTTAATATACACTTTTAAAACTTTATGTTACAGAAGTTCATAGTTTCACATAAAATTGTTGTTATTCAATGGTTTTAGTCATATTTGACTCTTCATGACCCCATTTGGGTTTTCTTGGCAAAGATAGTGGAGTGGTTTGCGATTTCTTTCTCCAACTCATTTTACAAACAAGGAAACTGAGATAAACAGGGTTAAGTAACTTGCCCAGGGTCACACAGATAGTAAGTGTCTGAGGTCAGATTTGAATTCAGAAAGATGAGTCTTCCTGACTTCAGGCCTACTGCTCAATCCACTCTGCCACCTACCTACCCATTTCATATAAAATACTCTTTAATTATTCTTTGTATATCAAAGTGGTCATGTCATTCAAGGTTGTTATGTTCATAATTTTAAAAAGAAGAAGAAAAATGAACAAAAAAAGATTCAAACTTCTGAGGTTAGAAAACATAATGAGATACTTAGCCAATCATGAGATACTTGGGTATCTACCAGGTATCTACCCTGAAGAGCACACCTGGATGAAAATGGAGATGCAGAACTTTATTGTTTCTCAAGAGAACATTGGGCTAGGGGCACCTAGGTGGTGCAGTAGATAGAGCTCTGGCCTTGGAGTCAAGAGGACCTGGGTTCAAATCTGGCCTCAAACACTTAAAACTTACTAGCTGTGTGACCCTGGGAAAGTCACTTAACCCCAATGCCTCACCAGAAAAAAAAGTACATTAGGCTAAGCGTTATCCTTCAGAAATTTTGTGGGAGGGGTATAGAAGTAGGATGATAAGATAGGCAAGCACAATTAAGTTTCATGAGATGATTTCCTTACCGAAGCCCTATGACATAGGTAGTATAAGAATGATGATTTCCCATTTTACAAGCATTTGCTAAGTGCCTACTATGTGCCAGACACTGGGGATATAAAAAAAAGCAAAAGACAGTTCTGTCTTCAAAGAGCTTACAGTCTGATAGGAGAAACAACCTGCAAGCAACTCTATGCAAACAAATATAGACAAGATAAATTGGAGATAACCCACCACGGGAAGGTACTAACATTAAGGGGGATTAAGAAAGACTTCTTGTAGGAGGTGAGAGCTCCCTTCCTTGGGCTTCAGTTTTCTCATCTGTGACAGCAGAGCAGTGGTGGTTAGATGTCCCCCCAGCATAAAATCCTTTCGTCCACAGTGAGAGGGAACCTGTGCCCTGTCCTGCTCTGCTCTGAGACATTATGATGGGAAGTCTTTCTACCTCAACTCTGGGATTTTATTGTCAGACCCCAAAGTCCCAAGAGTTTCAGGAAGTGATAAATAACTCTCCTTACAAAAAAGAAGTTGGGGACCTAGCCCTAAATTATCTGGCCCTCAGACTATCTAAGAGGAAAAAAAATTCTCTTTAGCTTGAAGACAAAAACTGGAATAGCCTTAAGTCAACTCATGATGTCTGGAGGTTTTTCTGATAAAGAAACCAGCATCCTGAGCTGGCTCTCCTGAGTAGGCTAGACTTCATTTCATGATGTCATTTCACTAAGTTACAAATTGAACAAAGTTAATCCAGCTTCCAGGACTCTATTAGTAATGAATGAATATTTACTGCACAAAATTACTGCTCAGGCAGAGCTGAAATTTCCAAGCATGAGCAGGTCAGCAGTATCAGCAATTCATTATGTTAATAGTGCTTGTCACCACCCTCCAGGGAACTCTGACAGAGGTGAAACACCCTGCTTTACCTCATTTGTAAAGCACTAGTTTTGTTTCTAGCAACAGAAATTAAATTGTGTTCCTTATAATAGCTTCTTTGATATAGAAAAGCATTTCTCATCCCCCTGACAATGTAATCACAGTGGCCTATTTGTCTTCCTACAATAAAGACAGGTTCCATTTTCCCTCATAATAGGCATCAAAAATGGTATTTATTTCCCTTGTTTGATAAGTCATCACCATGGGTCTAGATGAGAATATTTTTAAAAATTTAGAGAAGGAAAGAAAGAAAGAAAGAAAGAAAGGAAGGAAGGAAGGAAGGAAGGAAGGAAGGAAGGAAGGAAGGAAGGAAG